TTATAAAATCAAAAGAGATTCTTCTTGTAATATCGAACGATATAAAGCTAAACTTATGGCTAAGGGTTATACCTAAAAGGAAGGCATAGATTATCATGAGACTTTTTCTTCTGTCTCTAAAAAGGATTCATTCAAAATAATAATGACATTAGTAGCTCATTTTAACTCGAAGCTACATTAGATGGATGTGAAAATACCATTTTTAAGTGAAAATTTGAATGAAGAGGTATACATAAATCAGCCTAAATGTTTTTGTGATAATACAAATAGCCACTTGGTTTGTAAGCTAAAAAGATCTATATATGGGTTAAAGCAAGCCTCCCGACGGTGTTATATTAAGTTTCACAATGTTATTATCTCATATGATTTTATTGAGAACATTGTTGATCAATGTATATACCTTAAAGTTAGTGGGAGCAAATATATTTTTCTTGTCCTATATGCAGATGATATTTTGCTTGCATGTAGTGACTTGGGTTTGCTTCATGAGATTAAGCAATTTCTTTCTCAAAACTTTGATATGAAGGATTTCGGTGAAACCTTTTATGTCATTAGCATAGAGATTCATAGAGATAGATCTCAAAGAATATTAGAACTGTCTCAAAAGCCTACATTGAAAAAGTCTTGAAAAGTTCGGGATGTCAAATTATGCATCTTTAGTAGCACTCATTATTAAAGGGGATTTCAATTTGAATCAATGTTCACAAAATGTATTGAAAAAAGGAGCGGATAAGTAACATTCCTTATGTATCTGCAGTAGGCGGCTTGATGTATGCACATGTTTGTATAAGACTCGACTTGGCATTTGCATTAGGAATACTAGGTAGGTTCTAAAGCAATCCCGGAATGGACCATTGGAAAGTCGTTAAAAAAGTCATGAGATATCTACAAGGAACCAAAAATTATAGACCGACTTACGGATATTCTATTCACCTCGAGGTGGTTGGTTATTCGGATTTAGATTTTGCTGATTGTGTAGACACAAGAAATTCTATTTCAGGATATATTTTTCTTCTTCCTAGTGGAGCTATGTCTTGGAAAAGCACTAAGCAAACTATTGTTGCTTTTTCTACTATGAAACCATAATTCATTGCATGTTATGAAGCAATGACACATGCTATTTGGTTAAGAAACTTCATTTCGATCTATAAATTATTTTATTACACATTAAGACCAGTAAAGATTTATTGTGACAATTTTACTATGGTTTTCTTCTCTAAGAATAATAAAAGTGGAAGCCAAAATAAGCATATCGACATAAAGTATCTCATTGTGAGAGAGAAAGTGAAAGAACATAAAGTGCTCATTAAGCATACTAGCACCGAGCTAATGATTGTAGATCCTATGACTAAAGCATTATCGGTAAAACAAGTATAGAGATCATGTGGATCGTATAGGTCTAGCTAACCCATTTATTGTTTGAGTTCATTTCTTTTTATTGATTGTCTAGACATTTTTTATGTTGCTCTTAGAGATTTGATGTGATTTTTGTGCACATAAAGTAGTAATTTTATATTCATTTTGATATATAAAGTTGGACTCAAATGACTTATTGGAAGTTCATTCATAAAGTTTGTTTGCTCATTAAATGTTTATTTTAAGGATGTAATATATTATAATACATGAAAGGAAATGCTTAGTTATAAAGCATGATTGTTATGATTCATATATTGTATTCTTAATCTAAGTATGAGTGTTTTCACTAACTAATCGTTCGGACTCTATACAAAAATTATCATTTTTTAGGAGTGTTATATGGGCCAAGTTGGAGAATGTGAGAAATATTCCTATAGTGTAACCCATGTGTCATGTTTTGTTTTAAATCTATAAACGACAATTTAAAGACTTAGAGCCCAACGAACTTTAGTGGTGAGCTCGGCACATTCATGATGAACAAAGGTGCAAAATTAGGTTAAATAAAGAGTCTCCGATCTAGCTATATAAATAGTAAGTAAAACTTATGTTTTCCATTAACACATAAAACCCTAAAGTATTGGCATAGACTAGAAGGCTCTCTCTCCTTGATGACTCCAGTTTTCTTTCAACAATATCTTGAGCACTTAATCAATCATGGCAGGAGGTATGTATTCTATTAATTTTCGCCGCATTTATATGCTTAAACATATTTATTATCTTACACATAAAAATCTCCATTCTTAGGATAAGATGTTAGTATGCATTGAAAGTTTTATAGGTACAAAGGATATGATGTGACAACAAACATCGTATGGCAAACTACTAATTCTATACTCGGCTTTTTGATGAACAACTTTACCATCATAGTTTTGATCCATTACCGAGAACTATACAAGTAGATCGAAAGGACTCTAATCATTTAAGTAAGAAGTCTTGGTTTTGAGTTTTATATATATACAAAACTCTTTAGGTAGCTTTGCTCTCCTTGGGTGTTTGACCGAACGACGAGAGATTAATCTAAATTTTTAAACCTAGTATACTCGGGAGATCGAGTCTCCAAGTGAAGACATAAATGCTTCAATAGAGATCACAAAATCTTCAAGGCCTATTTAGCTTACCCAAGTAAAACTGAACATAGTAATGGCTAACGGGGACATGCATATGATGTCAAGTTTTGAGTAATTTTTAGCACCACATTGCGGCTGCTCATAGCAATAACAGAATTAGAAGGGAAATCATCCTGACAGGGTTACTCTGGTGAAGATAAAAAACCAAAATCTTTATTCATAGCCCACCAAAAAGCAAATTTCATATGATCCAAAAAGAAGGGTCGAATTTATTTCTTTTCCTACTTGTTTTATTGTGATTACACTACATAAACCACTTAATAATGCAATGGGAAGGACATTTATTAAACGGAAAACGATTTTCGTGTTTATTTCCCTTTAAATCTCTCGATTTTCATTGAAGATCAAAAGAAAATGTTACACTTTTTATGCCTTTAACCAAGTAATACCAAATCTTAAAAAACCAAAAACTATATATAATGAAATCAGACCCAAAAAGAAAAACTCAAGATAAACCAACACGTTTCAAATGATCATCTTCTGAAAAGTAGTCCGTTTCCTTCTCTGCTTTCATGCTTACTCTGAATCTTGAAATTCTAAAACCCTTTTCAAGGTTTTAGAATGTGTGTTTACTTTTTGACACAGAAAAAAAGGGCATTTGGTAAAATACATTTCCTGCCTTGATATTTCTTTTTTTGGAAGCAAAATATATTTTCCAATTATTTTTTACTTATTATTATTATTATTATATGATTATCTGATTTTTATTTTATTAAAGGATATCTTCTGACTAGTTATTTATTGCAAAATTAATTTGACCTTGTTTTTATATAATTAAATTGATATTTAATTACGAAAAGAGTTATTAAATTTTATCATTTTGTTCAATTTTTATCATTTCATATTTATTTAACATATTAATGATTTTTATTTCATTTTATTTTTTGAGCTCAATACTTTAAAAGAAAGATTTAAACTTGTGATCTCTTATAAGTATAAAAAACTCACAACACTAAATTAGAAGCTTATTGATAATGATTTTTATTTTTATTGAAAAGTTTTAATATTTAAAAAATATATCAAGTAACCTATAATGAGGCAAAATTACTTTATATTTTAGATGATCAAATAATTAATTTTGTTCTGGCTAATTAAAGCTCTTGTAATACGCTCTTATTACTAAAATCAGTTATCATAGAAAACATAATTAAGATAAAGACAAAAATAACACATACGTGTATATGGATAACTTTTTGTTTTGATAAATCCAACGGTTAACTGAAAACGAAAAGAACTATCATATTCAATGTATCATATAATTTTGAAGGAAAAAAAATCCAATGAAAACAGATAAGAGGAATTTTAGAGAAAAAAAAGGGTGGGTAAGCGAGCCTGGCTTATACGATGGGCCAACATGCATGCTTGAGCTAGATGTGCCAGGCCCCACCCATATAATAATAATAATAATAAAGAAACATGGAAAGAGTTTTCGGACGACATGCTGAGTGGAACAACAAACGGCCCGTCATCTTCTTCCTCGTTTCCAGCGAGTTTCCAATCTGAGAGAGATGGTAAACGTTGAGAGATATCACTACTAGTGAGTTTGTCGCTTGCAAAAGAAAAAAAAAAAAAAACACATAAAATAGAATTAGTATATATATAGATTGAGATCATCTGCTCACCTCGCTGTTACAAAGTAAATAATAATAATAATAATAATAATAATCATCATTAAAAAAAAAAAAAAGGAAACACACACTTCTCTTTAATTAATTGTCATCAAAATTAGATTGAGATCATCTTTTATAAATACATGTATGCTTTTTAGTTCTACCAAAAGTTATTTGTCTATGTATAGTTCTTGATATATAGATGCTTTTACACTAAACTGTCTAAGCAAGTGTCGATCATAAATTTAGTTTAATGTGTTTTAGAATATTGATCTTATTTCTGAACTTTGATCTCTCTCTCTCTCTTTTCTTTTACTCTTCATTAATTTATTAATTATCAGTTTAATTTGATTATTCAATAACTACTTTTGTTTAAAATGTTATTCTGTTTGAATTATAAATATCTTTTCGTTTAAAATTACTATTAATTATTTTTAATTTTTGAGTACTTATAATTATCATTTCATATAAAGTAGAATTATGAATCATAAAAAATTTGAATTATGTATTATAACAAGTAAATAATAAATGCAAATATATAAATAAATAAAATAAAAAAATATTTGATTCGTTATATTAGCTTTGATCCATTTAAGAAAATTATTTTGGCTCCCAGTAGGTTCAAACCAAGAAATTAATTATTCATAAGCCAAAAAAAAAAAAAAGGAAACCACAATTAGAAGCAGTAATAGTTCCAAGCTAACACAAATCAAAGGAGCTAAGGAAGTTGAAGTAGATGCTTCACAGAATACGACTTCAGAACTAGAAAAAAGATTTCTTTCAAGAACAATATCTAATCGATACCAAAGGTTTGCGTTTTCCCTACCCAACTTGCAGTTGCAAAGCTTCAAGGCAAAAACTCAATTTGATAAGCATGTTTGGAGCCCTTACGACAATTTGATAACCTCTCGACAACTACTTCTTTTGAATTATCAATCCCCTTCTCATATCTGATTGCCATTTTCATCAAGACCTCAGCATTCCGTAAGAAATATTCCACCATTTTCATCTCTTCTGACTGCCCTGTAAAATCTTTAAGCTCAATCACCTCAAGGCATGACGGCAAGCAATGGGGTAGCAGATTAATTCCTGGATCTCGCCATTGATGAGAAGTTTCCGTGTCGTAATCCTAAATGAATATTAAAGTTACAAGTAAAAAGAAAGATATTTGACCCCTTGCTAGTTACATATAGATTATCTAATTAGAGATAAACAAGAAATCTGAAACACACAGATGCAAGCATGCATGGTTAATTGAGAGTATTTATATAGTTGGAACTAACCTTCTTTATTAAGACCAAAACTTGCAAACTAGCACAACATCGGAGTATTTCATGCAAAATCATCCACGTAGCTCCACTAGCTTCAACTCCAAACGAGTCAAATCCCAGAAAGTAGGCAAACCCAGTTTATCTGCATCTTTTAAAGTCTGAGGAGGTAATATGTGACTTAGTAAACCAAACCAGAATTAGAAATATAACCATTGAAAATATAAGCAAAAAATTTAAGTAAAATAGGGAAGGGAACTTATTACTTTCATAGCTAAATCAGACAAAACTAGATTCTCAACATCAGAGATCCGTTCAAAAAACCCAACCACCATGTCTGCATAATCACCAGGTTCTTTGGTTAAAACAGTTACCCGACCCTGACTGACAGTTGCCTCTACTAGTGACTGCACCCACTGCGATATTCTTAACTCCTCAGATGCAAAATCAGCGAATTTAAGAAGCTTAATGTTCGGAGTTTCAATAGTAAGTATCCTATGAACCGGAAGGTCAACTTCTTCAAGATGATCATCAGCAGGTAGGAATTGCATCATCAAACGTTTCCGTGAGCCTGATCAAATATTTAAAAAGTGCGCAGATTTACGTCCTTCCATTTCAATTTTCAGTTCTTCAAGGACTGGGGAACCTAGCAATGCTCTCTCTATGCAAGCATCATCATGCATTGGGAAAACGCAGCAAAGATGAAGGACCTTCAGACGTGGAAAGCATAAAATGGTTGGATGGACATGAAAAGCAATTCGATAACAACTAACTTTCAAAACCACTAATGTCTCACAACTAGAAAGGCTAAGCTCTGTTTCTTTCGAAATTATAAGCATCTCCCCAACACTGGCCCTAACTGCTGAAGAAATCCATGCACTTACACGGGAAGAATCATAGTTTCCAGATATTCTGAGCCGAAATATTTCCATAGGATGAGCATCAGTGCGAAGATTAAAACACCTCTCTACGAAATCCCCAAAGATGGCCTGCCTTTCTTTAGGTGTAAGAAATTTTCCATCAGGACGTGGCTTCTCAATGCTATACAACATTACGCTGTCATCCAGATCTAAATTGGTAAGTGCTGATGTCCAGTGGTGTTTGTCTCTCCATCTTTTGGACAAAACGCTGGTGCGTGCAGCAATTTTTGTTGGTAGAAACGAAAGTAACCACACCAGGCAAGCTCGTGATTATATCTTCGTTGTCCATTGGGCTTGAAAGGTTCAAAAGATAAAATCTGAAATTTCAGCACAGCCACCTCTTTAAAATCAAACTAACTTAAAGAAACCAAGAAAAATATTCGATGAAGCAAATCAAGTATACATGCAGCACAGTTCAAGGAATGGAGAGAAAAAGGAAAAAAAAAATCAAGAGTAACAAGAAAAAGATTGGATTCAAGAAATAAAGATAATCGAAACCAATGAATTGGAATAACAAGAATTGTTCGAGAAATGAAGGTAAAACCCATGTGGAATATCAGAAGAAATAAATGAATTTCAAGAAACGAAGACTAGGTGAAAGAAACTACCAGGATGGATGTTGCAAGTGAAGAATTTATGAAGACGAATAAGAGAGAGAATCAATGGTGATTATGCAATTAATCCTAAGAAGAATCTTCCTTTAAAGAAAAAGAAGAGAGAGAAGGGAATCACAACAACAACTTCCCCTCCTTTATATGCAGCTAGAAGTGGCTGTTTCCACCATTCCCTTAACTGACTAACCAACCAACCAAACGGCCAACTAACTGACTCATCCTTTTATTAACGAGTGACACGTGTGATTAAAAGGACAAACATAACAGAGGGAGAGGAGAAGTTAATTGGCAACCGTCTATAAAACGCTGCGTTTCATTAAAGCTTTGCTACCCTCATTTTTTTCAGAGGATACAAGAGTAAATGACAATTTTATCCATCTAGTTTTAAAAATGAATTGATTAGTCCCCCTTGTTTAATAGCCTGATTATTAGTCCTTATATTTTTAATTTTTCTTGTAAATTCATCTTTTTAGTTTTTTTCAATTTATTTTGATTTTTTTTAAAAAAATAATATAGAAAGATTGATGAGAAAAAATACTTTTTTAAAAAATAATATTAAATTAAACGTAATTAATACTAGTTAAAGAACTAAACAATTAATTTATCAAAAAAGAAAGACGAATTAATTCATTTCTAAAAATAGAATATTTAATTTATAATTTACTCAAAGATACCAAGGTAAAAGAAAATAAAAGATAAAACTATTAGATAAAAAAACACAACTATACAACGGATTAGAGCTATATTGATATAACGTTATTTTTCTCTCAAGAGATAAAGAAAAAGAAAGAAAAAAAAATATCATTAATTAAGGATGTTGGCAGTCGGTGCTCGTTAGGTTAGATCTTCATGGAACAAAAGAGAGCTAAAGCATGTTGCTACCAAAATTTTTTTTATTTTTTCTTCTTTGCATTCTAGCTCAAGAGCTCAATGTCTTAGATGTGGATAGGACTATCAACAAATTGGATTTGAATTGAATTATAATAGATCTTAATCTAATTATTTGATAAAAACAGATTGGATCGAATCTTAGAAATTTCAATTAAGTTTTAAAAATGTAAAATCGGATCGAATTCGAAATTTCATCGGATTTGTCACTTATTTTTATAAAACAATTATGCTTGTTACATTTAATATATTTCTTGAATACAAAATATATTTCAACCACTACATATATAATAAAACATATTAAGATAATATCTCTCAATTTTGTGAAAAATCAAAACTTCATACAATTCGAAGTACAAAATTAAATATTTCTAATAAAAATTTGTCTTGAACTAGATATGAAATATGATAAAATTAAAAGAAAAAACTAATAAATAATTTTTATTTGTTATCCATGTGAAAGAAAAATCAATATTTAATTAATTCGAATTTCAAGATGATAGTGCTACAAATCATTTAGTAAATGTCACTTTATTAATATTAGTAATATCACATAAGTAAATACGTACAAATATTGTATTTTCTTACTTTTTTAAAAAAATCCATTTTTTGTCGATTTCTTAATAATATAAGTATTTTATTATCTCACATTCTAATCTTCATCTACTTATTTCTATACCTCTAAATAATTTAGAGATTTAAGTGTTATAAAAGAGTCTATGAAAAATAATCTATTATCTCTACTTCTATCATCTCAATTAGTTTGAGTTATACTTTTATTTTTAACATTAAAATAATAAAATGGGCTCCAATTTATAAAAAGTTAGTTTCACATGCTATGATTTTTACCATCAAATTTTAAACAAATGCGAAATTTATTTTTGAATATTATTGTTTAACTCCACAACAACTTTTATCACAGAAAAAATAAGTACGTTAAAAAAAAAAAAAGAATAAAAATGTAATAAGCTTAGGTAAATAAATGTATCAAAAAATCATGAAATTTATATTTTTAAATCATATTAACTCATTTTTTTAATTTTGAACAAAAAAAAGTCATGAACTAAGATTTTAACAACCATATTAACACAAGTCATTTTTTTCTATTTTTAAAATTTCATTTTAAACTGATATGGCATGTGATAGAAAAAAACAATATCGTTAATTTTATTACATAAGATTCTACGTAAGATCCAGGTGGCCTATTAACTGCCTAGTAATGAACTACAGGTGGATCACTACCTTCTTAACCGAATGGAAAAATCCATAACCCTCGCTAACCCTTCATTCTTCTCATTTCAAAATTCCCAACCTTTTCTTCTTCTCATCCCCAGCGTAAAGAGGTTTCCCATAAGAAATTCTGGAATTGCACCAGTAGTAGAAATAACAGCAACAAAAGTATATTCATCAGGTTTAGAAGTTGACATTCCTACCAACTGGATGAGCATATTCATAGCATCCTCTCCCTCTCCATTTCTCGCATACCCAGAAATCATCGAGTTCCAAGAAACTAAATTTAGGCTCTCGATTTTATTAAAGACATTAAATCCATTTTTGGTGTCACCACAACTCTAATACATGTCAAGCAAAGCATTTTGCAAAGGCAAATTAGCTAGTACATGCAAAACAATAACTCGGGCATGAATAACTTGTCCACGACTACAATCTCCCAATTTACCACAAGCGTTCAATATCCTTAGGTATGTGAACTCAGTAGGAACAACAGCATACCTCACCATTTGACCGAATAAACAAACTCTTTCGTCTAACTTTTCGTTCTTCAAATTCCCAAATATCATCGAATTCCACAGAACTTTGTTTCTCTACAATACAACCAAAAGTTTTGTTTACGGATACCAGACCCCCGCAATTCGAGTACATACCAAGCAATGATGTCTGAACAAACACATCATTTATGAAACCAAACATAACAAACTGACCACGAATCAAAGACCCCATAAGCCAATCCTCGAGTGAACAAGGTCACAAGCAGCAAGACAAAGCACTGGCCTAAGCCTCTTGCCACCAGCCAAAAAAGAGTATCGCGTAGACTCGTGGATTTTAGTCGGTTCTTTAAGATAAAAAGCAGCATCTAATCTTTTTTTTTTTTTTTTTTTTTTTTTAACAGAATTGGCTTTTTGTAGCATGTAAGACTTGAAATCGAAAGTGGGTTTTTCTTGATCTTCTTCAATAGTCTTTTCGTTTTTGAGAACTGCACAAATTAAAGACATGGGTTTTCCTCTGTTTTTGATGTATTGAAACAATTTAAAGGCTTTTAAGTCCTAGAGATAAGAATTTTGAGATGGGTCTGGATCTTGTTTCTTTGTCGGTGAGTGAAGTTATCTAAACCCATAAACCCAGATTCGCAGAAGTGGTAGTGGAGAGTGGCGGAGATGGAGGTTAATGTGGTAGTGAAGCTGGGTTTTGAAGAGGTTTTGGTGGGATTTTAATGGTAGTAGCAGTGGTTACGGTAGGGTTATGGCTGAGGGACAGTAGTGTTGTCTTTGGGATTGAGAAGAAAGACCTGGATGATGGCTGCTTGTTTCGAATAGGCTTAACGGTTGAGGAGGACGAAGACGGATGAAGGGCTAGGGAGTGTTAGGGTTTTTTTTAATTGGGCTAGAGAGACAGTGGTTGATATGTAGTTAATAGATCACGTAGATCGTACATGAAATCCTACGTGGTAATGTTTGCCATATTGTTATGTTTCATCACCTGTAACATCAACTTAAAATAAAATTTAAGTCAGAAAAATTTATGTATGATAATATAGTTATTAATAATTTAGTTCATAACTTTTGTATCTAAAATTAAAAAAACAAGCTAATATGATTAAAAAGTGTAAAATTTGTGATTTTTTATTCCATTAAGTCATTTATATATATATAAAAAAAATTGGTTACACATGCTATGATTTTTACCATCGATTTGAAACAAATGAAACAATTATTTTTTAATATATTCATTGCTCAAATCTACAATAACTCTTATCATAGAAAAAATAAGCACGTTGAAAAAAAAGAGAGTAAAAACTAATTTTAATAATTATTTAATATATAAAGAATAGAAATGTAATAAATTTGAGTAAATAAAATACCATAGGTTTTTTTCACGAAGTTAAATTAAGAAAATAATAAGAAACTTATATGTGATTATGGAAGAATATGCATTATTTAAACTTTATAATAAATAAATTCTAAATTTCAATCTAATCTGGTATTTATATAATTTTTTCTTATTTAAATTTTTAATATTTTTAAAATATTATATTTATTAAAAATATTATTTTTCATAAAATGAATTAAAAAAATAAAAAACTTACATGTACTGTAGAAGAATATGCATTATTGGAACTTTATAATAAAAAAATTCTAAATCTCAATCTAATCTTGTATTTATATAATTTTTTCATATTTAAATTTTTAATATTTTAAAAATATTATATTTATTAAAAAATATATATTATTTTTAATTTTAGATCAAATTATTATCGAATTCGATTAAGGTAGATCCAAGTTTGATTTATTTACCGAACGGATTAACATATTCGGATCATAATCGAACTCGAGTCATAAAAACTATTTATCAAATCTATTTAATTACGTTGGATTCGAATCGAATTCGAGTTAAGATTCGATCCATTTATAGCCATCAACTCGATAATAAAATAAATCATACTCGGTATGTTGTTTTTAAGTACCAAGATAATAAAACTTCTATGATTTTTCAACTTCGTTCAAAATTTAGTCAATGAATTATGTAGAATCCAATTGCCAAAATGGCAATAGTTCAAGTAATAAGTTCATAATGTTGTCAAGGGTTAAAACCATTAAAAAACCTTAAAATGAAAAAAGAAAGTGAGGTCCAAATTCTAAAGCCAAGAAAAAAGTTAATAAGCTTACATGGTAACAAAAATCAAATCATACACAAATTGAGTGAACCATTCATAAAATGAAGTTCAAGATTTGAAAAAGAACACCAAAACCAAAAAAGTAATATAAGATCTTTGGATGAATAATTTGTGAATTTGAGAAGAATTATCCATATCTTTGTAAACTCAATAATTTGTTATTAGGATTTATCCCATATTCGATTCTTGTACAATTTGAATTTTTGCCTTTATAATTTTTTAAATTGATTGAAACCTTTTACTCGTACAAATTTATTGATTCGATTCTCTATTATAACTCGTCAATTGTTCATTCAACGTGGCATATTATCGTTAATGTTCACTAATCGACATGTGGCATTATGGGTTCTAAATAACAATGATCTATTTCAAATTTAAAAAAGATTTAATTTTTTAATAATAAATTAATATTTATAATTAAAACATTAATTGAAAATACAAATTTAGCCTTTATCCCATTATCCCAAAATCAATCGTTCTCTCCTCACCTGTCTCTTTCTAAATACAATCCTTCCCTTTGCTTCTTCTTCTTCTTTAATGAAACCCTAGGCTTCCCAAATCTTTCAATCCCTCGCTTTGCTTCTTCTTCTTCTCTAATTGAAACCTTAAGCTTCATCGTTTCTTCTTCTTCTTCTTCTTTGTAATTATTTTTTTGCATTCTCACACTCATTCCTCTCTCTCTCTCTCTCTCTCTTTGAAGAAACTCTAAATCCCCATAATCTCAAAATCCCTAAATTCCTAAAATTTTATAATCCCAATTTGAAATTAGGGATCTTAATGTGATCTATCGGTGAAAACACGACCCAAGTCCAATTAAAATCTATAATTTCCAAGGAGAACTTCATGGCACCGATTGATTTTCTTAGATTCCTTGATTTAATGGCAAAGCACATGAAAACTAAGCCATTTGATTGATAGTTACGAGATGCATTTGAAGTGCTCTATAAGAATAACACGGGGTTTCTATCTCGTTATGGATCCGGGTCGTATTTTAACCAATATTGGAGAGAAGTTGGCATTGGTAGAGTTTGATAAGTGGACCCAAGAGGTTGATGTCATTTTGATGGGGGAATTCAGATTTTATTGTCGAATTGTTGCTAAGTGAAAGTGAATGGTTTGATTTCTTAAGAATTTTAAGTTGGTTTGTTTGAAAGTAATTTGTGGCTTGGTTTTTATTCGTTTCCTTTTATTTAAGGAAACAAAATCCCTACCTCAAAGCATTTCTTCAAGTATAAAAGCGTACGGGTAGTTTATCGTAACAAGCATTTGGCATTTGAGGTTACGTTTAGGACAAGCATACATGACTAGATGGATGTTGCATTTATGTTTACTTCTTTTCTTGAATTTATATGGAAGTTAACACCGCAAATGATGATTTTAAAGAAGTTATCTAAACAAGAGTTCATGTTTGTAACAACTTGGGTAAATGTTGGATCCTTTTTTATGCCTTCTTGCTCCTGCCGGAATTGGGTGTTCTATTCTAATCAATAGAGCCCTTCCTTCACTTGTAGGCATGCTTGAATTGCTCGGTGAAAAAATCTAATAACGACAATCGGGTCCGGACTTAGCCTATGAGAATTTTGTTTCCCGGATGAATAATTAAAAAAAAAACCATGTCCAAACTAGTTAATTAATTAATTAAAAATTAAATACTATTATTGTTTCCTTTTTGAAGGAAAATTTATATTTTCCAATTATTATTTTTAATTATAAGTATTAATTTATTATTAAAAAATTAAAATATTCTCTTTTTTTTTTGGATGAAAAAATTGTTATTTAGGTCTCATAACTCCATATGCCGATCAATGATATGTGGACGTAACGGTAATATGCCATGTCGAATGAATAGTTGATAGAGTTATAATGGAGGGTGTGAATCAATAAATTTATAAGAGTAGAAGGTTTTAATTAAGCTGAAAAATTATGAAGGGTCTCAATTGAAAAAATTAAAAATGTATATGGACCAAATGTGGTATAACCCCTTGATATTACACTATAAATAAATAGCTGAATAACAACATACACCAACGAATGGATATGAAGTTTTGGTATATAATAATGGATTAGCAAATGAGTAATGAATGTTATCAATTTTCAAATATTTTTGGTTAATAGTGATAGAGTACCAATGAACTTACAACAACAATTCAATGATGGAACACTATCATTATTGAATTGGGTAGTAAATTTTTTATGGTTAATTCAATGATAAATTACTAACTAATTTATAATAGTATTTAGTGACGAGATGATATAGTTCGTTGCCAATTTTGGTAAGATTTGTGGCTCTAATTTCCTATAAATATTAGATGATTTAATGATAGGTTATCTATGTTAAAGACTATTATTTCATCACAATACAAAGACAGATTACGGTTGGTTGGTGTTTAGTAGTAAATTCAATGATGGAACATTTTGTCACTAATAAAAGAAAAAATGGCTCAGCTTTGGTAATTTCAAATAGCGATATACCTTTATAAATAGCTATAGAATCTTATTGATTAAAAAAAAAAAAACTTAATCTAGCAAGTAACCTCTTTTTTTCTCCATTTTCTTATCCTTCCTCGATCAAAAACCCTCTCCAAAATTTTTTCGACCAGCCACCACTAAAAATACCAATAATTATTGATGAGTGCATAATTATCATGATTTTTATGCTCTATTGCATTAAATTTTTAGTAATTATTGTACTATATTATGTTGTTTAAGAATAAAATGATAGTTTTAGGTTTTGTAGGAAAAATAACGAATCGAAGCTAAAGCCTAAGTAAGGAAGAGAGAATTCACCAAAAAGGCTTAGAAGAGTCACACATTCGTATGTGATATAAGAAAAAATAGCTTCGGCCATGTGAAACTAGGAAGCAAACAATGTGGATGCCCAAGTATGATTAACTTAGACCTTTCGGACTTCTTATAGGTTTTTCAAAGCCATATAGTTGAATTTGAAAGAAGTGATCTTCAAAGACCTTATAAAGGACATCTCAATCTTTCCAAAATGATATAGTGGGTCAATATCAAATTGCTTTTGGACCTCCAAATGGTATTTCATATTTTGTTCTAGAAAATTGATCCGAATCCCATTCGAAGTCCGGACCAATTATAGAGTTTAATTCATATCTAAAGTTTCAAAACTTCAATTGATTTAAGGCTAAGCCCATAGGATACTTAAGAGGCATACCTACAAGTCTTATGAGATCTTAAGTTCAAATTAGGTAGTTATCATAGAGGGATTTAGCTACAAAGTAGAATTCTAAGGTTGGACTGGACAGTGGAGTCGGTTTCAATTTTTAGCTCATAAAGGAATCTGTAAATATCCAATTAATGTAAGAATTAATGAGCTAGAAAGATAAGAAATAGGGCTACAAATTTTATGAAGAATGAAAACCCTAATTCGGCTTATATCAATTCCATTCAAGCTAATTAGTAAGAGATATGGGATGTAGTGCAAATTTCACACTAGTAAAAGGTTTTTGACACGAGATGAAGGTAAATTCCACACGAGCAAAAAGTTTTTGACATGAGATAAAAGGAACAAATGACACAGCTTGTGTCCCTTAGTCAAACAAGTTATGTATCATAATAAACAACACATGAGGGGTCGTCATTTATGTGTTATCACCCTATCTTTTGCTATCAATAAAGAAGTTAGGGTCTCACTTTAATACACACTCTCTCATTCCCTTCTTTTGGCAACCACCATCTATAGAAACTCTCTCTTTATAATCATTATGAGTAACTAAACTTTATTTTTATTTGAATCAATTTAAATCTTTTTGTTAAATCATTGTGAGATTAACGGGTTTTATTTCTAAACTCATCTTGATTAGGTATTTTATGCTTTTCTACATTATTGGGTTATAGTTATGTGATTGGATTGATTAGAGTGCATGTTAATTGTTTGATCATGTTAACTTATTGCTAGTTAAGCATTCAAGTTCATATAATTACTTGTCTAAACTTACCTATAGTAGTAACTAGAGGTTGATGATTATTTTTTATGTTTTCGTTCAATTTCTTGAAAAAACATAGAACTAGATTATATCTTCTCTAGCGCTTAGGAAGGTGGCTTAGCTTTACCTGTCTTTCTCTCGTCTAATGCTATTATTGGATTAAATCTATCTAATGCTTAATAGGTTATTCAATAGCTAGAGAATTAATTGGGTGTTGTATATTCAGTTAATGACTATGTAAGAAAATACTAGAGTCAACATACATGTTATTATCTTATGGTGAATCTTCATGTTTAGATAAGTTAATTATTTAACCAATGATCAATAATCAAACTAAAAGTGTATACTAAAGTTTAACTAAGGTTTCTTTATTATTTTTATTTTAATTTATTTAATTGCTTTCAAACACTTTAAATACAAACTTGTCTTCTTTATTGCTTTTACACTACAGGAATAATCAAACGAAAGAAATGGTCAATTAAGCTTCCTTCCTTGTGAGTTGAACTTTTACTTGCCCTAATTGCACTATTTTTGTTAAGGTTCTGTGAGCACATTATAAATTACTTATTTATTAGTGGTACGACATGCTATCAAATTTTGATGTCGTTACTAAGGAAGATTGCACTAAGTTGATGGTTTCTTGATATTCTAGTTGTTTGTATATATTTCTTTAACATGACTTGGTATTTTCAATAGTTTGGCTCTTAATATGACCTAAAATTCAAAAGATTCAAAAAGGAAAATCATATCTCCACACTTGATCAATAAATGGCGAATTGGTATCGTTGGTCAAACAAATGGCACTAAACAAGTGTACATCATGTGAGAGCATGTGCAATTTGCTTAGTGGTAGGGTACACCACCGATATGCACCCTTCCTTATAGGAGGATTATACTAAACAAGTCAATATTGTAATTGATCTTGTAAGACGATCATAATAAAGAAGATATGGTGTCCATCCCGGATATAGAGATAGATCCTATTATAATAATCAATATAGGCCATAATAGAGGCCTTATCAACCACCATTCTAAGAGCAATAAGCTTCCATTATGAATTCTAACTCATCCTTAGAAGATATGATGAAGGTACTAATTCGGAATATTGTACGACTTCATACTAATGCCCTATAATTCTAATATCAAGCAATGACTAGTATTCAAAAGTTGGAGACTTAAATGAGTCAAATCACCACCACTAGGGGGATTAAAAACCTAAAATTCATGTACACTCCAACCCCATACGGATGTAAACCAATAAGAAAATACAAGTACCATAACATTATGAAGTAGGAGAGGTAGAAGCACAAGCGCTAAGAACTTTCCCTCCAAAACAAAAATGAGTTCATAAGAACATTCAAGAGTAATAAGTGAGGTAGAGGATATGTCTGGATGAAGAGTAAGTAGTTGAAGATTTTGAAATAGAATCAACTTATAATGAAGAGCTAAACAAGATTGTGGTTGCTCGAAGAATTGACCAAACAAGAAAAATGATTTTAAGCATGTGGATTTAGGCAATTTTTTATGTGTGCACTATTGAATTTCTCCTTCCAAATGAGTTCAATAATGATGCTAACAAAATTGAGTTTTTCTTACCATTATTGCATCCTGTTTTGCATGTCTTATTCATGCCATTATCACTATTGATTCTTCATTATTTTAAGATTTAAGGAAGGATTTTCTCAAATGATGTGAAAGTAATATGTCAATTGGGATTGAGGATGTGGGAAATGCTTGAAGGAGCATTTTAGATGTCAATCTTGACCAGATCACCATTATAAGGACTTAATGGTACCAATATCAAGCTAATGACATTAAACAAAAGTGCTTATTGGGAGGTAACTCAATGATTTATGTAAATTTCATTGATTTTAGTTAATGCTTATTTTAGTTATTTAATTTTTCTTTGAATAACCCATGCTTGACTTGATTTGAAGGAGCTTTGAAGAAATTGATGAATTTTAAAAAGTTGAAAGAAAGGAAGACACACATGGGCTATGGCATCTTACGGTGTTTATAGAAGAAAGAAACATACTATTGTGGAAACAAAACAGACAACGAGTGTAGTAAGGCGTCTACATAATTTATAGAAGGAATCTACATGCCCATGTGAGTATTCATAGTGTGCAATGGCAAAAGAGAAAGAAGGGTGATGGGCAAAAACATTGAGACACGATTTGTGCTCTATATTAGGTATGAGTGTGTGTCATAGATTTCACCCCTCTTTAGCACCACCTCTGCTTTCATTGCTGAAATCTCATATTTGTTCTCTTAATCTTTATCTTTTAATTTTATTTACCTTTCATCAAGATTGTTAAACATTAAGGACAACGTTTAGTTCAAGTGTGAGGGTGCGTCTAGGATTTAGGTTTTTATTATTTTTATTTTATTTTATGTAATTTATGTGTTTATTTTATTCCCTTATATAAAAAAAATTAAAACAAATGTCATGTTTAGTATGATAATCTTCTTGATTGATGTGTAATGTTGAATTCAATGAAATTGATGAGATGAATGAAAACATTTAGGATATTACTCGTTATAAAAATGCATGTATGCTAGAGAGCTTTATATGTCTTCATGATAAAACCTAATTTAGGCGAGTAATACTAACTCTAAAAGAAAAGCAAACCCTTTGGGAACTAGACCTAAGCACGATTTAAATAAATGAGATTTTCTAATTTTTATTTGAGAAAGAAATATGAAAAGCATTCCCTTAGGAGTTTATCCTAAGTAATTAAAAATTCAACTCCAATAATTTGAGTTGCTTAGTAACAAAGAGTTTTCATCATAAATGTTTATTTTTACACCAAATGAAAATTCAAATTATGAGTATGCAAAGCACTCTAAGTTGATAACTTGCTAAGTAACTAGTTGCCTTCATCACAAATATCGATAGTTCGGTAAAAAGGAAAACAACCACTTAGGGAAAAGCTATTAAGGCGATAAAATAAAAAAAAATTAGGATGCTTAAAAAAAATATTAAAGAAAATCTTGATTTATTACGTTGCTTATAGTGGTGGTAAAAGGGTAAAAGGTAGAGTTGGTGTTTTATACCTAGATTATATTTGGTTATGAAGATACATAAATCAATTTAGAGACACACATTGCACACATTGATATGAAAATAATATCTTAAATATGATCGAGTTGACTATTGAATTTTGTTGAATTCGACTTGAGCATCAATGTTTGAAGAATAATCCTACCGATATAACATATGTTTGAACTATTTTATGGATTTATCATCCGAAAACCCTCACAAGACATAACTTGTCCACCGAGGGTAACTTAGGGGTTTAAAGGCTTATTGCATGTGCTAAATACAACCGTGGTTCCTATAAAAGTGAGTTAGGTTTTTATTTTATCTATTTTACTAGAGGACGAGCATAGTTTAAGTATGAGAGTATTTGCTGAGTGCATAATTAGCATAATGTTTATGCTCTATATCATTAAACTTTGTAGTAATTATTATATTATATTATGTTGTTTAAAAATAAGATGACATTTTTACATTTTCTAGGAAAAACGATGAATCGGAGCAAAGAAACCTAAAGCCTAAGCAAGGAATAAGAAGTCACCAAAGAGGCTTAGAAGAGTCACACTTCCATGTGTGATACAAGAAGAAATAGCTATTGGCCATGTGAAACATAGAAGGATACCGTGTGGATGTCTAGCATGATTAACTTAATCCTTTCAAAATTCTTACAGATTTTTTGAAGCCCTAGAGTTAGATTTGGAAGAAGTGATCTTCAAAGATGTTATAGAGGATATCTCAATCTTTCCAAAATGATATAGTGGGTAAAAATCAAAGTTCCTTTGGGCTTTCAAATGATATTTTATATTCTAGTCTAGAAAACTCGATTCAAATCCCATTTGAAGTCCGAGATCGATTATAGTGTTTAATTCATATCTAGATTTTTAAAACTTTAATTGATTCAAGTCTAAGCCCCTTGAATACTTAAGAGCATATCTATAAATCTTATGAAGGTCTTGATCCAAAATAGGTCATTATCATAGAGGAATTCAGTTGTAAAGTGGAATTCTAAGGTCGGATAGACGAAGTTGAGTCAATGTTAGTTTTTAGCTCATAAAAGAAGTTGTAAATATCTAATTGATGTAATAATTAATGGGTGGGAAATATAAAAAATAGGGCTACAACATTCATGAAGAACAAAAACACTAATTTGGCATGTATTAAGTCTATTCAAGTCGACTATTTAGAGATGTTGTATGTAGTGTAAATTCCATACAAGTAGAAGGTTTTTAACATGAGATAAAGGAAAATTCCATATGGGTAGAAGATTTTTGATACGGGATGAAGGTGAAAAATCACACGATTGTTTCCCTTAGTCAAACAAGCCATGTATCACAACAAACAAGCCATATGAGGCTGCCATGTGTGTGTTGTGACCCTACATTTTGCTATAAATAGAGAACTTAGGGTCTCAATTTAATACACTCTCTCTCTCATTCCCTTCTTTTGGTAGCCACCATCCATAAAAACTCTCTCTTTGTAACCCATTATGAGCAATTAAACTTCATTCTTGGTTGAATCAAGTTGAAGCTTTTGGTTAAATCGATGTGAGATTAACATGTTTTATTTCTAAACTTATCTTGAATTGGTGTTTTATATTTTTTTACATGATTAGTTTATATTTATATGATTGGATTGATTATAATGAATTGGAATTATTTGATCATGTTAACTTATTACTAGCTAAGTATTCAAGTCCGTGCAATTACTTGTATAAACTTGCCAACGGTAGTAACTAGAGGTTGATGATTATTCTTTACATTTTCATTTAACTTCTTGGAAAATATAGAACTAGGTTATTTCTTGTCTAGTGCTTAGGAAGGTGGCTTGGCTTCACCTGTCTTTCTCTATGTAATCTATCTTTCTCTATCTAATGTTGTTATTAGATTAAATCTAACTAGTGATTAGTAGGTTGTTCAATAGCTAGGGAATTAATTAGGTATCGTATATTCGATTAATGACTAAATAAGGAAATCCCGAAGTCAACATACATGTTGTTGCCTTATGGTGAATATTCATGTTTAAGATAAATTAATTATTTAATCAATGATCATCAACCAAACTAAAAGTGGATATTAAAATTCAACTAAGGTTTATTTATTATTGCTATTTTAATTTATCTAATTTCTTCCAAACACTCCAAATACAAAACCCTCATCTTTATTGCTTTTACACTACAAAAATAATCAAACGAAAGAAATGATCAATTAAGCCTCCTTTCTTATGGGTCCGACCCTCATTTGTCCTAGTTATACTATTGTGGTTAAGGTTTCATTAGGACATTATAAATTACTAATTTGTTAGTGGTACGATACGTTGTTAATTATCCTATCGTTGTCATCTCTTTTACTCTTGCAAGCTTAGTCATTTTTTTCCTCTCACAAACATCATTCCTATCAAACCACACCTGTCATTCCTCTCAATCACCATCAACAAACCTTTGCTAATAGCAGCCACAGTGACTACCATTACTCTAGCCACACTCGTAGTCACTTTAGCCGTGCTAGCCACTACGTCAACCACCGTTCCTCCATGCCAATCACCATTCTAACTATACCAACCATCATTCTAGTAAAATTGACAATCATTTTAACCACTCTAGCCATTCTAATCACACCACCAAATACTCGTACACCAAGTTTGCCAATGGATAGCCGCTTCTCTTTTCTAACTAACTAAAATAAATCAATTTTTATTAGGTTTAAAGAAGTTAAAACTAATCCCAATGGGTATTTTGGTCACTATGTATTTTGATGATATCTCAACAACTACCATAATGTTTTAACTATAAGGTAATTCATCTAAATCTCAACTTTTAATTCATGTCATTTTTAGAATAATTCTAAATTTAGTATGTATGAAATTTATTTTATTGATAATTATTGAAGTATGTCGAGATACTTCGTAGTGTATCGAACCTAAGAAGTTAGAGACTCTCGAGAATCGAGGAGAAATAAGATAGTGTCTATGCTTTACAATAAAGTCGGAGGGATAAAGATTGGGTTTTAATTTGAATGAATTATCCGAGATAAGCATCAACCTTGGGGTGTGCAATTTTGATTGGTTGTTATTTGATTATGATTGATTAAACATGTTTGATTATGTATGTTTGTGTTATCGATTAATGGCTTAATTTTTATTTGGTAATGATTAATTAAATAAGCTAGTTTGCCTATTTGTCGTTTTAATTGAAAATCTTGATGCTTGAAGTTACGTCGATCCGAACCCTAATTTGGATCATTGTCATCAATTTTGTCAATTTATGCATGTTCACTTTCTAATTTTATTATTGCTTATTTGAAATCATGACACTTGAAGTCACATCAATCCGAGTCTTAATTTAGACTCGTTCTCGCAATTTTTCCTAAAATGGCTATTTACTTGCCAATTTTGTTGTGTTTACTTGTTCACATATGAAATTTATTGTGTTTGAAGTCATGTTGGTTGAAGCCCCTACTCGGATCACTTTTTTTGAATCTATCATTTATGCCTAAGTTTATTTACCATTTAGTTAAAAATATAATGCTTGAAGTCGTGTCAATTCGAGCCTTTTTTTTTAATTTTTTTTAATTTTTTTGCCAATTCCATATGTATGTTTATTTTGTTTTCATAAACCACAAGCACCAAAAGCCATATTGGCCTAAAACTTGTTTTAACTATAGTTGTCGTTAATATGGTAGTTTAAAATGCTTGAGATTTATTTACTTTATTGATAAAACTAGTTGAGATCTCTATAGAAGGACTATGATGCATGTGTTGTGTATTTTGGTATCTTATTTTTTGGTGCGAAGGAGTCTCTAGTAATTGTAAAATGTCAAATTTATGGGAAATTTTCTACCAAAATTTTATTACATTTTAAAGAAAAGATGTATAAAATCTTAAATTTAAGGTACGTTTAAGGTTTTAATTAAACCGTAGATACTCTATGAAGTTTAAGTGTGAGGGTATTTAATGAGTACATAATTAACATAATTTTTATGCTCTATTACATTGAACTTTCTAGTATATATTATATTATATTATGTTATTTAAGAATAAGATGATTGTTTTGGGTTTTATAGTAAAAACAATGAATTAGAGTAAGAAAACCAAACCCAAGCAAGAAAGAGAGAAAACTTCAAAGAGGCTTAGAAGAGTCATATGACCATATGAAATAACAAAGAAAACAACTATTGGTCATGTGAATTAAAGGAAGAAACCATATGGATTCTCAAGCAACACTAGTGGAAGCATTCCATACGTCTAGAGGAAGAAATCCCACATGGCTACGTGGGTGTCCTAGCCATGTGATTTTTTTACTTTAGATTTATTTACCATATTGTAGTTAATATGGTAGTTTAAAATACTTTAGATTTACTTACTTTATTGATATTACTAGTTGAGGATCTCTATAGAACGATTGTGGTGCATGTGTTGCATATTTGGATATGCTATTTTTTTGTGTAGAAGAAGTCTCTGGTAATTGTCAAATGTCAAATCTATGGGGAAGTTTCGCCAAAATTTTATTAGATTTTTAAGAAAAGATGTATAAAATCTTAAATTTAAGCTATGTTTAAGGTTGTTAATGAGGCGATTCAACACGAACAGGATATAAATTATAGCGAGTTTCGATCAGTTATCTCTAACGATAAAGATTGTTGATAAAAATGATAGACTTGGTTTGTTTAATTATAGGGTTTCCTCTCGTCATTAGGGGTAAGGTTTCCTTGTCCCTCCAATTTGATTGGTAAGTTTAATTTTCTCTCTTTTGTATTAGTTTTTCTATATCAATAAATTTATCATGGTATCGCCTTTCTTTTTTAAAAAAAGAAAAATGAAACCGTAGATACTCTATTGAGTTTAAGTATGAGGGTATTTGTTAAGCACATAATTAGGATGATTTTTATATTCTATTACATTGAACTTTCTAGTATATATTGTATTATATTATGTTATTTAAGAATAAGATGATGATTTTGGGTTTTATAGAAAAAATGATGAATCAAAGTACGAAAACCCAAAATCCAAGCAAGAAAGAGAGAAAACTTCAAAGAGGCTTAGAAGAGTAACACGGCCGTGTGAAATAACAAAGAAATCAGCTATTGGTTATATGACTTAAAGGAAGAAACCATATGGATTCTCAAGCAACACAAGCCACACAAGCGAAGCATTCCACGTAGCTAGAGGAAGAAATCCTACATGGCCGTGTAGGTGTCTTAGCCTAGCACAACCCAAAGATGAAGAAGACTACATAGGTAATAGACATTGCATATGGTTTACAATGTAAAGTCATATGCCTATGTCTCTAAGGCAAAGTAGATCTACATGGGTAGAAGAGATTCAACACAACTTGAAGAAAAAATCTACATAAACGAAACTTGGAAACACGAGATAAATAGCAAAGGCACATAGTTATGTGCCCCGGTTATCAAACCATGTAATATTGATTTTCTAAGGCTCCAAATCATATAACATCAAGCAACAAACTGTATAACTTTATGTAAGAAATTGTGTGGTCATATGGGGATGACATACACATGATGAATCCTATTTTTAGATATAAATAGTAAAGCTAGGGTGTTATTTGAGGAGACATAACCTTTTTGCAATCATTATTCATAGAAATTCTCTCTCTATAAACCATTATGAGCAACTAAACTCTATTATTGGTTGAATCAAGTTAAAACTTTTGTAAATCCTTGTGAGATTATGATTTTATTTTTAGATTATTTTTATTGAGTATTTTATGTTTTTCTATATGATTAGTTCATAATTGTATGATTAAATTGATTAGAATGCACGCTAGTTATTTAGCCATATTAACTTATTGCTATATAGGTAATTATGTCCATATAATTATTTGTTTAAACTTGTCCGAGGTAGTAACTACGGGTTCATGATTATTTTTTACGTTTTTGTTCAATTTCTTAAAAAACATAAAACTAGGTTACACCTTCCGTAGCACTTAGAAAGGTGGCTTAGTTTCACTTGTCTTTCTCTATCTAATGTTGTTATTTGATTAAATCTATCTATCACTTAGTAGGTTGTTCAATAGCTAGGGAATTAATTGGGTATGGTATTTTTAATTAACGACCGAATAAGGAAAGACTCGAGTCAATATACATGTTATTGTCTTATATTAAATATTAATGTTTAAGATAAGCTAACTATTTAATCGATGATCGGCGACCAAACTAAAAGTGGATACCGAAGTTCAACCAAGGTTTTATTAATATTATTAATTCTTACTACTTTAAATTTCTTCCAAACACTTACACACAACAAATCACCCTTTACACTATAAGAACACTTAAACAAGCAAAACAATCGATTGATTCCCTTTCCTTATGGGTTCCATCCTTACTTGTCTTGATTACATAATTGTGATTAAAAGCTCTATAAGAAAACATAAATTACTAATTTGTTAGTGGTATGACATGCTATCAAATTTTGGCATCATTACTAAGGAATTACAATCGAAGTTTATTGTTTTTAGGTATTTTGATTATTCTTGTGCTTTTTTTATTGTTGGTGTATGACCGAGTCTCAATTAAAAAAGTTGATTTTCAATCCCGAATCGAAAAGAGAGCTAAGCAAATAGAGAAGAGAAGCTAGGTTAGCTTCAATAGAAAAAATGAAATAAGCCCATAAATTGCACCTCTCCCACAGCCAGCTACCAAACCCCTCTCACTCATTACCAACCCTTCACCAAGCATGCCACAAGCCCTCTCTCTTTTAGCCACACCAAGCAACCAACGAACTTGCCCAAGCTCTACACCACACTCATTTTAGCCCACAACTAGCTTTAGCCCTTTTCTTGCCTAAACTCCAGTCATCGGCCTCCACAACCGACACCGACCCATAAGCCATAGCCTCTATTCCAACCCATAAACACTAGTCCAGCCTAGCTCTCCATAGGTTAGCTCCTCACGCCCACAAGCTCGCAGCCTTTCCCTTCTTCTCGTCACCTCATTCTAGCCACGACCCCCAACCAAATTGCCTCACCCACACCACTATCACAATCTTCTCTTTCACACACAAGCACACTAAGCTAGCTCCCATACCACTAACCCCACACATTAGGCATCGCAATTGATAGCCATCCACACATACAAAAACAGACCTCAAAACTCGAGCCACCAAGCACGCCGACCCTATTCCGATCCAACCTCACCCTTTTGCCCTCGCTTACATGCTAGACACGGCCCCACAACCATCCTCCCTCGTGTGCGATAAGCTTGCCCTAAGTCTCTCTCGGCTTACGCCCACTACCAGCTTCCCACATCAACTAGTGCGAAACACATCGCAAAAGACCACACACTCTAGCTCTCTCTTGCAGCCTCACCAAGCATATTGCTCGTAAGCTCCTTTCTCACCTATAAGCACCAGCCTCTCTTACGTCCACACACAAACACTACACCAGCCCACAACAAGCTCTTCCCTACAGACCTTATCCTCTCCAACTCACATAATAACGAACTTGTTCACCTAAGTTCCCTCTCACAAACAACTCCCATCACATGTAACATAGTAGGCTTAGCATGCAAACAACCCGCTCGTACACATACACCTTCATCTACCACACTACTAATGACCCCATTCCATCCCCCACATATAAGCTTATTCCTATAGCTTTTTTTTCCTTCCATCCCTTTTCCTTGCCTTTCCAACCTATTACCCGAACATACACATATAGCCCATAGCTCTCAAGCCCTATAGCCCACATCTCCTTTCTTGCCTTGCACTAGCAGAGCCCTTCTCACAAGTGACCTAAAATCCAGCCTCTAAACTCAACAACAAACCGTTATTCCAACCCATAGCAAAGCCCCAAAGTACCTTAAAAAATAAAGCCCTAAAATAGAACCAAAACCCCCAAAAGAACCTTCAAAATCAACCCCGTAACTATTATTAATAATCCCCAAAAATCCTTATAGAGAAATCCCTTCAAAAAGCCCATTTAAACCAACAAAGTAGCCTCTAAAACAACCTCCAAATCAGCTTTAAAATAACCCCAAAACCCCCTAAAATACCCACCAAAATAGCTACAAAACCTCCCTCAAAATAGCCCCCTTAAACACTTTTTTGGAGGTATTGTAAAAGAGGAAATAAGAGCAAAAAAAAAAAAATTATTAAAAAGATTAATTTTTTTTTTTATGTTGGATTGTGTTAGTAGGAATAACATGATATTTTAGATTGCATTTCTTTTTTTTAATTATTTTTTGGTAGGAAAATACGAGTAACAAAAATCATTTTGTGTTTTTAGAAAACTCTACAAAGTTTCGGGAACTCGCAAATTTTATAAGAACATTTGGAGTGGTTGCATAAGTAATGGATGAACTTCTAGATAATTGCTCTCCTTTCCTGGCTAACCGTATAATCAATTTTCATGGAGACTAAAAAGAGTAAAACCGACATTATTTCGGATGTCGAAATTTCAAAGCTTTTGGGTAAAACTCCAAAACCATTACATCCTTTTCTAAAAGAAAAATAAATGATTAAAAATGATTGGATTATTTTTTTGTGTGAATGAAATTATCGTATTTTTTTTAAATATCCATAGTCTAAATGTGGTTCAAATAAGCATTGCTGTAATGGATACTAAAAGACAAACTACACTCGTTTTCCTATTTTTATGTTTATTTGTCCAAATATGAAGTTTGTGTCATTCAATTGAAGTTTAATGATTGGTTGCAATGGTACAATAAGCCATTGGTGGTTTCAAAATCATTTTGTTTGTTTCTTGATTCTTGATTCTTGTTTTTTCCACTCATGACTCAAAGTCATTGGTGGTTTTCAACTTGTGTTAGCAAAGTCGTCGATGACTCACTCGCTCATACTAATAAAAGGCTATTCATCTTTAGAAACTCACTTATTGGTTGATAATAGGTTGTGTTTACTAATGATTAATTGAAATTCCAAATTCCTCGACCTTCCCCCTTAGGTAGGGAGTATTGGCCTTGGATCGATCTAAACACTTGAACTATCTTATTTTAGATTTTTACAAAATGAACTCATTTGAATAGGTATAGAAGTATAACACGATAAAAATCAGATTTTTATATTCATAGGCAAATAATAAAACCTACCTTAAGTAGGATAGGATGGTGGTAATATTATATCTTTCTCATACGTAACCGACCCCTTACACGTATATCCACACGTACTAGTATGTTTAGGTTTTTCTAGTTCTTCTTGATTAGCTAAGTGGTGATTCCTTGTTTTGGCCCCTCTTCACGATGGCCGACGTTGACACATTTTATGAGTATTGGGGCGATTCGAGAAGTTATATTCTAATTGCCCACACCATCATATTTTTTATCAGCTTGTTGATTATGTATTTCTATGAAGGTTTGCTCTCTATGGAGAAGAGCATGATAGATGCAGCTAATGGAGGAGCACTAGTGGACAAAATGCCCGATGTTGCAAGGTCTTTGATATCAAACATGGCCACCAACTCACAACAATTTGATGAAAGGATTGATCACGTATCGAAATGGGTAAATAAGGTTACTTTTTTGAGTTTAGAGTAATAAATGTCGGATTTGAATTCTTTAGTAGTTAAGACTTGTGAAATTTGTACTACTACTGGACATATAATGGATGCGTGTCCGAAATTATAAGAGGAGCACACGGAATAGGTACATGTGGTTGGAAACTTTAGGGGTGGCCAACCAAGGCCATATGACCCTTACTTTAACACCTACAATCCTAGTTGAAAAGATCACCCCAACTTGAGGTATAGGGACACTAGGAAAAGTGGGTAAAAATTCTACCAACAAAGGCAACATAGGTGCAAACCTAGGCTTTTTCAATAACAAGCCCCATATCATTCTAAAAATTCATTAAAAGAAATAATGAAGCCTCTATCTTAGCACTAAATAATTCAGCAAGAAACTAGATCAAGCATTTAAAGTCCGAAGAACCAAATGAGTTAATTAGTGACTCGTTATGAGTGGTTTAGAGGCTTAAGCAAGATGAAAAGTATCATCTCAAACAGGTGATAAATCCCAAAGAGAATGTGAGTACAATGACATTAAGGAATGGTGCTTGAGTAGAGCAATCGAATAAGAGCATGCCCGAATTACCTAAAGAAGGAAGAGTAGAGATAGAGGAAGAGAAGAAGTGTACAACCATTGGTGGGGCTAGACCAATCCCTAAGGTAAATTCTAACCCTTCTACTTCATTTTTAACTAACCATATACCATTTCCTAGCAGATTAGAGAAGCTTAGGAAAGAAGAGTTGAAGAAGGAAAATGAGAAAGAGATCTTTAAACTGTTTAGCAAAATAGAGGTGAACATACCTCTATCGAAGGCCATAAAGCAAGTGCCTTGATATGCCAAGTTCTTGAAGGACTTGTACACCAATAAGAGGAGGTTGAACATGAATGAAAAGATAAGAATGAGGGAGAACATTATTATGATGCTGTAATGGAAAATCCCTCCTAATTATACAAATTCTAGTATGTTTACTATACCATGCCAAATTGATAGCAAAAAAATAGACAAGGCTATGTTAAATTTAGGGGCATCGATCAATGAAATCTCATACTCTATATATGCTACACTAAATTTAGGACCTTTTAAAAATAAAAATGTTATCATCTAACTAGTCGATCGCATTAATGCCTAACTCGAAAGGGTAGTGGAAGATGTTCTTGTGTAGGTGAACTAGTTCGTGTTCCTAGTAGACTTTTATGTCTTGAAGATGGGAGATGAATCTCCTTATAACCTAGCACCTTTCTTATTAAAGAGGTCATTCCTCAAGACAAGTAAGAAAAAAACAAAAACATCCATGAAAGAGCTTTTACCATGGAGTTTGATGGTGAGGTGATTCAATTTAGTATCCTCAATCAAGATAATACCAAGATGTAAGGAAGCTCAAGATCTAACTTAACAATGAAAGATTCTTCTTGATGGGAAAAGGTAACATTGAGCTAATGATGTTAAACAAAAGTGCTTATTGGGAGGCAACTCAACGATTCTTATAAATTTTATATTTTGATTTAAATTTAAATTTAGTTATTTAATTTTATGTTTAATTTTTACCTACACTTGATTGAAAAGATGTGTAGCATAGGTAATTAGATGTGTATATGGCTGAAATTTCAAAAAGCAAGGGAGAGGCATATGGGCGATTACCATAGACAAAATTTGTAGAAGAAAAAGCATGCCCATGTGCTTAGAAAAAAGCTACAAATTAAAATAATAGAAAAGAAAATATGAACAATAGACATACACACAATTTGTAAAAAGAAATGACATGCCTATGTGCCTAAAAGATGAATGAAAATTTAAGAAAATGAGAAAAAAAAAAAAGACATGGGTAGAATGCTTTGCACATGATTTATATAGTAATCGACACGGTCATATGAGTTGTATGGAGTTTTTAAAATTCTAAGAGATAGGTAGAATGGTTTTACATGATTTATAGAAGGATTTCCACATGATCGTGTGGAACGTGGCACTAGTTAGGGAGAAGAAAAGGTATATAAGTAGAAGGAAAGGCTCACGATTTGTACATAAAAGTTACATAAATGAGTCTCTCTCTAAGATAAAAGTCACACTATTTGCCTTTCCTAAAACCTACCTCTATATAAACTAAAACCCCGGCCATGTCACTTCATCTTCTTTAAAAACACATTCCTGCTTCCAACCTCTTTTTCTTCATTTTTTCATCTCTTTCAGATTTACATCTTTCTCACAAATAACCAATCATCAAACCACTATTACAACCCACACCTTCACAAATCAACACCACCACTCCATTACACGCCACCAAAGAACCTTCATTTCGCCACCCAACTAAAGAACTCTCACCCTTTTCAGCCCAAAGCCACTCAAGAGACAATAATGTCTACTTTAAAAGATAAGGAAAAACAAATGGTAACACTATAAGATAAGAACACCTGTAGAAAAAAGCCAACCACAAAGGAAGGCTACCATCCAAATCTTACCACTAGGATTGAGTTTGCAAATGAAGAGTAAGAATTCTACTACAATGTCTTAAAGAATAAAAAAGTTATAAAAAACAGGTATATCAATATTTAAGCTTAGAGAGAGTGGGTTAGTTGAGAAAAGTGAGGGAGATGATAGAAATTGTAGAATGGATAAACTTGTTGAGAATGGATGCTCTTTCTTATAAAGAGTTGACATTAGAGTTCTTGAGTTCCTTTCAATTGGAAAAGATAAGAGAAGAGCGACATTCGACTCATGATTATTTCACATTTTAGATATCAAATAAAAAATATAGTGTTGATGTAAATACTATGATAGATATGTTTGGTCGGTCACATAATGGCAAAAAGCAACAACCTACTTAGGTTTGAGAAGCCCTTTTAGAGGAAAATCACGAGTTCACTACATAAGGTATATAATCCATCGTGATTAAAAGCATTAATGATCATAAACCTAGTATTTTGATTCATACATTAGTTACCAACATGGATGTTATGTGGTAGGCAAAACAACAATGGGGTGGTGAGAAAATTAGAATTTACAATCTTATGCTTCATCGCTCATAAGATGAAGGTCGATTTCACCTATTTTGGTTTATTACTTCTTAACGATCAAGAAATCGATTGATTGTGGAATCAGTATAGCTAGGTTTATCACCCATATTGCTGAGAAAATGAAGATGTTCAATAGAAAC